GGAACCCACACCTGGTCAAGCACGTCAAGAAATTAGAGAAAGCGCAAAGGTTTGCAACAAGGCTGGTTCCAGAACTAAGGGAAATGTCATACGAAAAAAGGTTAAGGGAAATCGGTCTGACGACACTGGAGGACAGGAGGGTCAGGGGTGACATGATAACGACATACAAAATACTGCGTGGAATAGATAAGGTGGAGAGAGACAGGCTGTTCCAAAGATGAGACACAGAAACAAGGAGTCACAATTGGAAGTTGAAGACCCAGATGAGTCAAAAGGATATTAGGAAATATTTCTTCAGTCATAGAGTTGTCAGGAAGTGGAATAGCCTAGCAAGTGATGTAGTGGAGGCAGGAACAATACATAGTTTTAAGACGAGGTTTGATAAAGCTCATGGAGCTGGGAAAGTGAGGACCTAGTAGCTTTCAGTGAAGAGGCGGGGCCAAGAACTATGAATCGACCCCTGCAACCACAAATAGGTGAGTACACACACACACAAAGTCACTCACACCCACACAGTTTATAGTGAAAGCTTATGGCATTGCAAGTGGGATTTTCCTCAGCGACACCAGGTGTCAGGGGACTTCCCACAGCGACACCAGGTGTCAGGGGACTTCCCACAGCGACACCAGTGTGTCAGGGGACTTCCCACAGCGACACCAGTGTCAGGGGACTTCCCACAGCGACACCAGGTGTCAGGGGACTTCCCACAGCGACACCAGGTGTCAGGGCTTCCCACAGCGACACCAGGTGTCAGGGGACTTCCCACAGCGACACCAGGTGTCAGGGGACTTCCCCACAGCGACACCAGGTGTCAGGGGACTTCCCACAGCGACACCAGGTGTCAGGGGACTTCCCACAGCGACACCAGGTGTCAGGGGACTTCCCACAGCGACACCAGGTGTCAGGGGACTTCCCACAGCGACACCAGTGGTCAGGGGACTTCCACAGCGACACCAGGTGTCAGGGGACTTCCCACAGCGACACCAGGTGTCAGGGGACTTCCCACAGCGACACCAGGTGTCAGGGGACTTCCCACAGCGACACCAGTGTCAGGGGACTTCCCACAGCGACACCAGGTGTCAGGGGACTTCCCACAGCGACACCAGGTGTCAGGGGACTTCCCACGCGACACCAGGTGTCAGGGGACTTCCCACAGCGACACCAGGTGTCAGGGGACTTCCACGCGACACCAGTGTCAGGGACTCCACGCGCACAGGTGTCAGGGGACTTCCCACAGCGACACCAGGTGTCAGGGGACTTCTCCCACAGCGACACCAGGTGTCAGGGGACTTCCACAGCGACACCAGGTGTCAGGGGACTTCCCACAGCGACACCAGGTGTCAGGGACTTCCCACAGCGACACCAGGTGTCAGGGGACTTCCCACAGCGACACCAGGTGTCAGGGGACTTCTCCCACAGCGACACCAGGTGTCAGGGGACTTCCCACAGCGACACCAGGTGTCAGGGGACTTCCCACAGCGACACCAGGTGTCAGGGACTTCCCACAGCGACACCAGGTGTCAGGGGACTTCCCACAGCGACACCAGGTGTCAGGGGACTTCCCACAGCGACACCAGGTGTCAGGGGACTTCCCACAGCGACACCAGGTGTCAGGGGACTTCCCACAGCGACACAGGTGTCAGGGGACTTCCCACAGCGACACCAGTGTCAGGGGACTTCCA